AGGGAACTATGAGCCTTTTATGACTTGTGGACTTCAATTCCCAGAATTCCTCAGCCAGCGTGAGGGAACTATGAGCCTTTTATGACTTGTGGACTTCAACTCCCAGAATTCCTTAGCCAGCGTGAGGGAACTATGACCCCTTTATGACTTGTGGACTTCAACTCCCAGAATTCCTCAGCCAGGCACATATGCCTGGCTGAGGAATTCTGGGAGTTGAAGTCCACAAGTCATAAAAGGGCCAAGTTTGAAGACCCCTGACATAGATGTTCAAAAAAGGTCTGGTCCACCACAATGCTTCATCTACCATCCTGTAGATGTTGATCTTTCCTTGCAGATGCTTCTGACATCTATCCTTTTGTCCTATTCAAGTCCCTGGCCTGAGATGCAGAAGGGTTAATCTTGAAAAAAAGACAGCATCTAGGCATGTCAACTGGTTGAATTTCATTTCTCTTGGAAAGGCTGAGAAGATGTCTCAAAACCCTATGAAATCTACATTTTTTAAAAAATGTCTATGGAGATTCTCCGTCATGCAGGTCATACTTGTTTTAGTGCTTTTTTTTTTTTTTTCAAAAAGGCAACTGGACTTTCTTGTTTTGGCTGAAGACGTTTTGCTTCCCATCAGGAAATGTCTTAGTTATGCACATTGGGATAAATACCCTTTGAATGGTGCAGGAGTATGAACGGATTTCCACCAAAAAAATAAAATAAAACTGCAGACTACAGGATTCGGGTGGCCCCCGAGAGCACAGATCAATCTCCAAATAGCCTCAACAATTCTCAGAGGGAGTTGTTGTTAGTTATGAAGTCATGTCCGACCACTTGTGACCCAATGGACCACGTTCCTCCAGGTCTTCCTTTCCTCCGCCATCTTCTGGAGTCCATTGAAGCTCACGCCTCCTGCTTCAGGGACTCCATCTAGCCACCTCCTTCTCTGTCGTCCCCTTCTTCTCTTGCCCTCCATCTTTCCCAGCATCAGGCTCTTCTCCAGGGAGTCCTTTCTTATCATTAGGTGGCCAAAGTACTTGAGTTTCAACTTCAGGATCTGGCCTTCTCAAGAGCAGTCAGGGTTGATTTCCTCCAGGCCTTCCTGTCCTCTACCATCTTCTGGAGTCCACTGAAGCTCACACCTATTGCTTCAGTGACTGCATCCAGCCACCTCATTGTCTGTCAGCCCCTTCTTCTAATGCCCTCAATCTTTCCCAGCATTAGGCTCTTCTCCAGTGAGTCCTTCCTCCTCATTAGGTGGCCAAATTGTTTGAGTTTCAACTTCAGGATCTGGCCTTCTAAAGAGCAGTGGGGGTTGATATCCTCTAGGACTGACCGGTTTGATTGCCTTGTGGTCCAGGGGACTCACAGGAGTCTTCTCCAGCATCAGAGTTCAAAGGCCTCCATTCTTTGGCGCTCAGCCTTTCTTATGGTCCAACTTTCACAGCCCTACATTGCAACTGGGAGTACTAACAACCAGAAGACTGCAAAGAATATAAATCCTTCTGTTCTCCACCATTCAGTCAAAACTGAAGAAGTTTCTTGGATAAGAAGAGAAATGACTTCCAGCAAAACAAGAAAGTCCATCTGCCTTTGAGGAAAAAAGCATGTTTAGTACATTTTTTTAATGTTCTTTTTTTAATAAGGCCAGGAAGCTGTCATGATTTACTGAGGGCTTTCTCCCCCCCCCCACCACACACACACACTTCTGTAAGACTGTAGGTGAACTTGGGGTTTTTATCAGGATTAGGAAGAAGTTTTCTTCTGATGTCTGGGTTCAAGAAACTCTTTGAAAATTTTGCTATCACTGCATCCATAAAACAAAAGAAAAAAAACCCTCATCCTTGATAGGACTCAAAAGATGTAAAACGTGGGATTCCTGCTGCAGTGTGCTATCCTATAAAGTTTGGATTATGGACAATTAATTTTCTAAGGTCAAATTGGGAAAATTACCTCGTCTTTCCTAAGCTAATACTAATTCAATAAGAAATTTGGATTTCCAATATGTCCTGAACAATTATTTTGTTATAAATATTCATGAGGAGGAATATTGTCTGAAACCAATCTGCTTTGTCCAATAGCTTCATCTGGTTGCAGACAATATTGTGATGAATTAAGTTCATTTTGGAATTTACGAACTCCAGCACTATAACGTAAATGTTAAGGTGACTTTGCTAATTCTCTCCATTAGCCATTTTAGTGGAAGGGATATGGTCTCCAAAGAGTTTCAGCTGCATAAACTGTTTGCAGAGACTCTGGAAACAGTCCTTAATTACTTCTACACACTCCGATTGCGGCAATTAAAGACTGCTGAACAAAGCGTAATCAAGCACGGGATCCCTTTCGCTTTCCCCTCTGAGTCCAAGCCTGTGAAATGATGGATAAAGCAGAAAGGAGAATTCACCCACCTCGGAGTGTTTGCGCCAAATATCTATGTTCTTCCGTTGAGCTTTCGAGAAATGGTCCCAAGCTTTTTGTCGGATGGAAGCGTTGAAAACGGCCACAATCTGCTCAACTTTGGTGAACAAGGAAGTCAAACAAGACAAGCAATTTATGTTGTGATTCTCTAAAGGAAAGCCCAACAAAGACACAAGGAGCCTAAGGATGACATCACTGCTGGAGTGACCTCATCCCGAGACTTCCAAACCAGTGGTGGGATTCAAATGTGGGAACAACTGGTTCTCTGCGTGGAGGCCGCTTCCGGACGTCCATTAGCTCCCGGTTCTGCCGAAGGGGTGAGAACTGGCTGAATCCCACCACTGCTCCAAACGTGTGTCTTTTCTGTACTTACATTTCAGATCTGTTGGAGGTGTCCTCCTTCAAGTCTCTCCTCACAACTTGAGCCTATACCAGTTGCACCCTGATAACTCACAGAGCTGCATGCAATTCATTGCTTCTACAGTTGTGACAGTTTTGACTTGTGTGCTTTCAAGCAGAAGGGACCTTGGAGGTCTTCTAGTCCAGCCCCTTGCTCAAGCAGGAGACCCTCTACCATTTCAGACCGGTGGCTGTCCAGTCTCTTCTTAAAAACCTCCAATGATGGAGCACCCATGATTTCTGGAGGCAAGCTGTTCCACCGGTTAATTGTTCTCACTGTTAGGAAGTTTCTCCTTAATTCCAGGTTGCTTCTCTCCTTGATCAGTTTCCATCCATTGCTTCTTGTCCTGCCTTCAGGTGCTTTGGAGAATAGGTTGACCCCCCCCATCTTTGTGGCAGCCCCTCAAATACTGGAATGTTGCTGTCATGTCCCCCCCCCAGTCCTTCTTTTCTCTAGACTAGACTAGCCAAGCCCAAACCTTCAACCTTTCTTCATTTGTTTTAGTCTCCAGGCCTTGAATCATCTTAGTTGCTCTTCTTTGCACTTTTTCCAAAGTCTCAACATCTTTTTTGTAATGTGGTGACCAAAACTGGATCCAGTATTCCAGGTGTGGCCTTTCTAAGGCTTTATAAAGAGCAGTTAGAGCCTTACTTAGTAAGCAGTTAGAGCAGCGGTTCTCAACCTGTGGGTCGGGACCCCATTTGGGGTCGAATGACCATTTCACGGGGGTCGCCAAACCACGCTGTCCGCCATTTTTTTCCTTTTTCCCTAGCTGTCCTACTCCCTCTTATTGGTGGCCACACCCACTTGGGGGTCACCACAACATGGGGAACTGTATTATGGGGTCACGGCATTAGAAAGGTTGAGGATCACTGAGTTAGAGCCTTAGTAAGGCTCTAACTGCTGTGCCGAGGTGGCGCAGCAGTTAGAGTGCAGTACTGCAGGCCACTTTAGCTGACTGTGTTCAGCAGGTCAGCGGTTCAAATCTCAGCGGCTCAAGGTTGACTCAGCCTTCCATCCTTCCGGGGTAGGTAAAATGAGGACCCAGATTGTTGGGGGCAATGTAAATATATATATATACATTGCTTACTGGTGTACACCGCTTAGAGAGTGCTTGCACTTAAAGCGGTATATAAGTCTCATAAAATAAATAAATAAATAAATAAATAAATAAAGCGATAGTAATTTCCCATGATTTTGATTCTATGCCCCTGGTTTTGGCTGCTGCCGCACATGTTTAAGTCATCGTCCACTAGGACTCTCACCGTTTACTGTTTTTGAACCAGGTTTCACCTAATCTGTACTTGTACCTTTGGTTTTTCCTGCCTAGATATTAAAACCTTGCTTTTCTCCATATTTTGATGGATACGGCCTATTGTTCAACTCTGTCCAGATCTTTTTGGAACTGACCTTCTCTTCTGGGGCATTGGCTTTTCCTGCCATCTTAGTGTCATCTGCAAATGTGATGAGTTCCCCTTGTCTCCTATGCTAATTTAGAGGAGTATAGAAAACCAATTTGTACCTTCGGAAGCTATAATCCAAAGGCTGAGCGCCAAAGAATGGAGGCCTTTGAACTCTGGTGCTGGAGAAGACTCCTGCGAGTCCCCTGGACTGCAAGGCGATCCAATTGGTCAGTCCCAGAGGAGATCAACCCCGACTGCTCTTTAGAAGGCCAGATCCTGAAGTTGAAACTCAAGGACTTTGGCCACCTGATGAGAAGGAAGGACTCCCTGGAGAAGGGCCTAATGCTGGGAAAGATGGAGGGCAAGAGTAGAAGGGGACGACAGAGAAGGAGGGGGCTGGATGGAGTCACTGAAGCAGGAGGCGTGAGCTTCAAAGGACTCCAGAAGATGGCAGAGGACAGGAAGACCTGGAGGAGATCAACCCCGACTGTTCTTGAGAAGGCCAGATCCAGAAGTTGAAACTCAAGTACTTTGGCCACCTAATGAGAAGAAAGGACTCCCTGGAGAAGAGCCTGATGCTGGGAAAGATGGAGGGCAAGAGAAGAAGGGGACGTCAGAGAAGGAGGGGGCTGGATGGAGTCACTGAAGCAGTAGGTGTGAACTTAAATGGACTCCAGAAGATGGTAGAGGACGGAAGACCTGGAGGAGATCAACCCCGACTGTTCTTGAGAAGGCCAGATCCGAAGTTGAAACTCAAGTACTTTGGCCACCTAATGAGAAGAAGGACTCCCTGGAGAAGAGCCTGATGCTGGGAAAGATGGAGGGCAAGAGAAGAAGGGGACGACAGAGAAGGAGGGGGCTGGATGGAGTCACTGAAGCAGGATCGTGAGCTTCAAAGGACTCCAGAAGATGGCAGAGGACAGGAAGACCTGGAGGAGATCAACCCCGACTGTTCTTGAGAAGGCCAGATCCAGAAGTTGAAACTCAAGTACTTTGGCCACCTAATGAGAAGAAAGGACTCCCTGGAGAAGAGCCTGATGCTGGGAAAGATGGAGGGCAAGAGAAGAAGGGGACGTCAGAGAAGGAGGGGGCTGGATGGAGTCACTGAAGCAGGAGGCGTGAGCTTCAAAGGACTCCAGAAGATGGCAGAGGACAGGAAGACCTGGAGGAGATCAACCCCGACTGTTCTTGAGAAGGCCAGATCCAGAAGTTGAAACTCAAGTACTTTGGCCACCTAATGAGAAGAAAGGACTCCCTGGAGAAGAGCCTGATGCTGGGAAAGATGGAGGGCAAGAGAAGAAGGGGACGTCAGAGAAGGAGGGGGCTGGATGGAGTCACTGAAGCAGGAGGCGTGAGCTTCAAAGGACTCCAGAAGATGGCAGAGGACAGGAAGACCTGGAGGAGATCAACCCCGACTGTTCTTGAGAAGGCCAGATCCAGAAGTTGAAACTCAAGTACTTTGGCCACCTAATGAGAAGAAAGGACTCCCTGGAGAAGAGCCTGATGCTGGGAAAGATGGAGGGCAAGAGAAGAAGGGGACGACAGAGAAGGAGGGGGCTGGATGGAGTCACTGAAGCAGGAGGCGTGAGCTTCAAAGGACTCCAGAAGATGGCAGAGGACAGGAAGGCCTGGAGGAGATCAACCCCGACTGTTCTTGAGAAGGCCAGATCCAGAAGTTGAAACTCAAGTACTTTGGCCACCTAATGAGAAGAAAGGACTCCCTGGAGAAGAGCCTGATGCTGGGAAAGATGGAGGGCAAGAGAAGAAGGGGACGACAGAGAAGGAGGGGGCTGGATGGAGTCACTGAAGCAGGAGGCGTGAGCTTCAAAGGACTCCAGAAGATGGCAGAGGACAGGAAGACCTGGAGGAGATCAACCCCGACTGTTCTTGAGAAGGCCAGATCCAGAAGTTGAAACTCAAGTACTTTGGCCACCTAATGAGAAGAAAGGACTCCCTGGAGAAGAGCCTGATGCTGGGAAAGATGGAGGGCAAGAGAAGAAGGGGACGTCAGAGAAGGAGGGGGCTGGATGGAGTCACTGAAGCAGTAGGTGTGAACTTAAATGGACTCCAGAAGATGGTAGAGGACAGGAAGGCCTGGAGGAACGTTGTCCATGGGGTCGCGATGGATCAGACACGACTTCGCAACTAACAACAACAACAACAACAAAGCTATAATCCTAATTTAACCTAAGAACATGCTCCGGTGGACTTAATGGATCTTAGTTTTTAACAGACATGTATAAGATTATATTCTTATTGAATAAAGTGTTAAGGAAATTCCCAAAGTGGGACTGGAGTTAATCTAAAGAAGATGGCACCATTAGTTTACTTATCCCTTTTAATGTTCTCTTTTCTTCTCACTTGTGGGCAAATGTATTCTGTGAAACATTTTAAGCCCGCTTATCCCTCTTTGCACCATACAACGACTCCTCGGCTTAGAACAGTTTGGTTTAGTGGCCATTCAAAGTCACAACGGCACTGAAAAAAGTGACTTAGCCATATGTCTATTGCTAATTTACATAAGAAACATGGGAGATATCAGAAGCCAAAAGGACATCTGCATTTTAAATCATATTCTTTTCTTGTGTTCTTTTATCCTAATGGTCCCCTCCTTCTCCTTCTCCCTCTTCTCTTTTTCTTTTAGACATTACATTTCCAAATCAAAGGATAACATTTGAGTCTGCCAAGCAACTGCAAATGAAATGTCACTCAGACCTTATAAGTAACTAAAATAAAAAATATTGCAAATCCAATTCCTAAGTGCTGCAGTTGACGGATTCACTCTAGCAGAAAGCTGTGACAGTTAATTCAGTAAATATGTGTATTTCGTTTTGGCAAAGGGATTCTCATCTCTGCAAAGCTAAGAGAAACTCTTCCCACTTTACACCAGTAAGATTCTGGTTTGTGTTATTGCTGCGGAAGTAAATTTTTTATCTTCCCCGCCGTTTTGAAATATGATCCGATAAGCCTTGATGAGGGAGAGAATCAAGATCACGTGAAGTGTTAATACCACTTTACAAGGCCTTGGTAAGGCCACACTTGGAATACGGCATCCGGTTTTGGTCACCGTGATGTAAAAAAGATGTTGAGACTCTAGAAAGAGTACAGAGAAGAGCAAAAAAGAGGATTAGGGGACTAGAGGCTAAAACATATAAAGAACGGTTGCTGGAATTGGGTATGTCTAGTTTAACGAAGAGCAGGACGAGGGGGGACATGATAGCAGTGTTCCAATATCTCGGGGCCTGCCACAAAGAAGAGGGAGTCAAGCTATTCTCCAAAGCCCCTGAAGGGAGG